CTTCCCGCTCAGCCGGTCTGACTCCGGCCTGACTAGCACTTAAGGAAAATTTAAAGACTAGAAGCCCCGCCCACATCCCATGCGAGCCCCGCCCACATCCCACGCGAGCCCCGCCCACATCCCACGCGACGCCCCGCCCACATCCCACGCGACCCCCCGCAGGAAGGAGCAAGGATCCTAAAGTAGGCGCAAGGGTCCTAAAGTAGTCCCAAAGTGCTGGCAGGTTTCAACACCACCTCTGCACGGAACTTCAGGCCATCCCCTGGCACCTACCAATTTACACTTACCCCTCTGAAGTCCCCACAGGTCTTAAGAGGCTTTTTTTTTCTTTTAAAGTATCCTTTCACCAAAATACGACCTCCAACATCTCAAGCCAGGGGAAAGGGCTTCACTGCTTTCAAAGCACTGGGGCCTCTTACCTTGAAGCTGCAGGCTTGCTCCCCGAGAGACAGTTCTAGAGAAGGTCTGGCAGGGCGCAGAGGGGATCCCCTCGCGAAAGGTACCCCGGAGAGCTCCGAATCAGGCCTCCTTCAGAGGGGGCCCCACCAACTCCTGGGGCAGAGGAAGAGGAGGGGGAGGAGGACGAGGAGGAAGAGGGGTAGGGTGAGGACGAAGAGGGGGGAGAAGAGGAGGAGAAAGAGGGGAGGAGGTGGAAGGCCAGGGGGAGGAGGAACTACTGCGGCGGGATGAGCCCCAGGACACAGCCTCGTCCTCTCGGGCTCTCAGGCGCTTGGGACTGCTGGACCCCCTGAATCCCACACAGCTCTGGGGGCGGCCACAGCACTGCGCTCCAGGAGCCAGCTGTGCTTGGGGGAGCTCCCCTCCGAAGAGCTGCGCCAGGAGGACTTGACCTTGGCCGCCTGGAGCACCTCACCTTGGCCGCCTGGAGCACCTGCAAGGTAAAGAGAGGCCAGCGGTCCACCGCTGCCCCTGCCTGCTGCCCTTCGTCCACCTCCAGTCATCCTGGGGCTCCCTTGAGGAGGGCAGGCCAGGCGGTCAGAGGCTGGCTTCACTCACCTCTCCCCCTTCTTTCCACTACCCATCACACGTCTCATGGTTTCAGAGATGCCAAAGCACCTCAAACGTCTGGGGTCCCAAAGCACATGGGACAAGTCCAGAAGACCCCAAGACTGACCAAATCCTTTCTTCCACTGAGCTTCCAAGCCCACAACCTGCTTCCACAATTGCCCAGTGCTTTAGTTTGCACAACACTACTTCCTGAAGACTAGAGCCACCATAGGATCTGGAAATCCCACTCCCAGGCAGTCTATACATAGAAAAGCAAGTTTGAAAAGACACATGTGCCCTAATGGTCATGCACCACTATTTTCAAGAGCCAAGACATGGAACCAATGAAAATAGCCACAGAGAAATGGAGAACAAAGATGATGTGGTACACATATACAATGGAATATTACTCAGCCATAGAAAAGAATGAAATGATGCCATTGGCAGCAACAAGGACGGGCCTAGAGGTGACAGTATCAGACAGAGAAAGATGAACATCACAGGCTGCCACTTACAGGTGGAATCCACACACTGAGAAAAATGAACTAGGGACTTCCCTGGTGCTCTAGTCGTTAAGAATCCGTGCTTCTACTGCAGGATGCATGAGCTCGATCCCTGGTCAGGGAACTAAGATCCCACACGCCCTGCGGCATGGCCAAAACGAACTAATGTACAAAGCAGAAAACAGGCTCACAGACCTAGGAAACAAACCCATGGTCACCAAAGGGGAAGGGGAGGGGGTGGCAATAAATGAGGATGTTGGGACTGACACAGACGCACTCACATTTATAAACAGCTAATCAACGAGGACCTCCTATGCAGCAAAGGAGACCACACTCGGCATTCGGTAATACCCCACGGGCCTGACCGAGCTCCTCAACCTCCATTCTGGACTCTGCTCCACCAAACCACATCCTGAGTCAGTCCTGTGGCCTCTCCAGCCCGGATGCTCCTCAGAAGCCATCTCACGGCTCCACCTCCAACGGAGTGCTCAGCACACAGTCCTCACGCACGCGCTTAGGACCCAGAGCAAGAGGGGGCAGAACCCCAGGACTCCTGAGACGGGACCAGGCTCCTCATCTCTCTATGGTTGCCAGTAAACCGACTGCGGGAAAACAAGACCCTTTAGGCCTGAGATACAGACAAGGGTCTCTGCCACTGGATCAGACCACCCGGAACAGAGGCCGCACCCTCACCTCTCCAGTTTCAGCCACACCTGACACCTCGAGCCAAGGACACAGTGAGACAGCAGGACCCTAGGGCCCTCACCCACAGGTGCTCTGCCAGACTTTTGTCCATGAAAAACTCTAGGCAAAGAATACGTTTATTAGAGAAGTGAGAACAAGCAAAAACAAAGAACAAAGGAGACCGAACAATAATAACATCCTCATTAAGAGCATAGTCAAGCACCTTTAGTTCCTGCTCAACGGCTAATAGACAACATTCCGAGCCACGCCCCGTGAGCTGTCTTATAGATACAGAAACCCCCACCAGGTGGAAGAAATTAACTACGTGATGACCAGCCTGTACCCATGACATATGCGGCCACCAGTCTGACAACTGGCTTCAAGAGATAGAAACAGACTAACTCTGGCACTGAAGATTGACTGCACCTGAAACAAGATGACCAATTTGAAGACGACCTACGGAAATGACCGTGCTGGTTCTGCATGGAGCCCCCTCTCTCAGCTTAAAAAAATCTCTTACCCCACTGCTTCTCAGCTGTGGGGAGCTGGCCTTTGGGCAGATGTCCCTCCTCTCCACCCCCCACCAGGCTGCCAGCATCTGAAATGAAGCAAACTTTCCTTTCCACCAACCTGGCCTGTTTATTGGCTTTTGAGCAGCAGGCAGCTGAAGCCCCCACCTTTCCGTAACAGCAGCATCCTGAAAGGCTAAGTAAGATCCCTCCACATCTTTGGATCCTCTTACTGAAGTTTAACCAACTGACCCTTTTACTCGGCACCCAAAACCACTGAAACCGCAGCAAGGACAAATGACAACATCAAAGTAGCCTCATGGTTACCTGATTTATATTTCGGTCAGATTCAATATTCTTTTTCAAAGGTTTTCAACTCACCATTACTTGTTTTTTGGTATGTCAGTGAGCCCACTCACGGGTTCTGACGGTGAAGTCCACCCTGAAAACACCGGGACTTGTCCCCTAAGATAACAGCCTGCCAGCTAAGATACAGAACGAAACACAGCCTCACTCCCTGGTGATGAGGCAAGAACCCACTGAGCAAGGCTTAAGGACAAACCGCTTTCCTCTCCACTGGTTTTATTTCTGATTACTTTATCCAGGGGCAGCGGGTCCCACCCAAATAAGACTCCGCCTCACCTCCCCCACATACAGACCTGCTCCTCACCTCTAAAGCCCAGACCTCCAAAACCTAGACCCCAAACCCCACACCACTAGAAGCACTGCATGGCACAGACTAGGCCTTCCGTAACTGCTTCTCCAAAGCCTGACTAAACACGTGGACGACGCTCACAGTAACTGGCAACATAAGCTAGGGCTCTTCTCCTCCCTGAAACCAGCCAAGTGTGAACTGACGAAGACTTAACCTTTCCAAACTCATGGTCCACTTTCACACACGTACATGTGTACACACACACCCGCACTGAGAAATTTTAATTAGCCCCCTTTTTTAAGTTAACGTAATCTAAATGGATGAAATGCACCTTCTCCGTGAAGCGCAGCTCCGTCTGCTCCCAGTATCATGGAGCCCTCCTCTGTTCCCACTGGGGAACTAAAGGGGAACCTCCAACACAAGCCCACCACACAAGACCCCACCGCGCTGGCAGCCGTCACCCTGGTGAAAAGCCAAACCAGCAACCAAGTTCTTTTTCCTGGTTCTGTGCTTCAACGTTCAAGTCCCAATTCCTTAAATTTACAATAAAATACACATGGTTCTGTTTCTGGGGCATGCCATCCACGTTCTCTGGCAGGGAGTCTGCAGCCTGACTGCTGATTGCAAACACCTGGGGAATGTTTAAAGACTCGGAAGCCCCGCCCCACCCCACCCCCGACTTCCCACGTCACCTCGACTTCCCACGTCACCTCGACATCCCACGTCACCTCGGCGGAGTGGAATATCCGCGCAAGGATTTTAAAGTACCCCAAAAACGCTGCCCAGTTTGAACACTGCCTCTGCCCGGCGCTTCAGGCCATGCCCCAGCATCTTCCCGTTTGCATGAAGGCACCTGGGAAAACCCCAGAGATCTTGAGAGGCAGGATCTTTTTTTTTTTTCTTTTTAAACTATCACCAAAATACCCACATCCAACCTTCCAAGCCAAGGGGAAAGGGTTTCGCACTCTGCGAAGCATTGGTGCCTTTTAAGGCTGCAGGCGTCCTCCCCGAAAGACACCGTTTGTTCTAGAGAAGGTCTGGCAGGGTGCAGAGGGGAACCCTTGAGCAAAGGAACCCCCAGGAACTCCGAACCAGGCCTCCTTTGGAGGAGGCCCCACCCCACCCGGGCTAGAGGAACGGGAGGAGGAATGACTGCGGCGGGATGAGCCCCAGGACACACAGGTCCTCATTCTGGGTTTCCAGGAGCCTGGGGCAGCTGGTGCATCCTGAAGCCGACACAGCGCGGGGAGCTGGCTGGGGGGCGGGGGCGGGGGGGACATCACTGCGCTCCCAGAGCCAGCTGCGCCTGGGGAACTCCGCCCCAGACGCTGCTCCAGGGGTACCTGACCCTGCGCTGCGCTGACCACCTGCAAGGTACTGAAGGGCCGGGAGTCCAGCATCAGCCCTCCTGACTGTCCTTCCTCAGCCTCCGGCCATCCTGGGACTTCGGGGCAGGCCAGAAGGTCAGAGGCTGGCTTCACTCACCTTTCCCCCCTCTTTCCACTGAAGGTTTCAGAGTTGTCAAAGCGCGTGGGACAAGTTCAGGCCCACACTGCTGCCGCAGTTACCAAGGCTTCAGTTTGCCCAGAGCTACTTCGGGATGTCAGAGCGCTCCCGGGGCTGTGACATGCCGCCATGGAGCTTGTGACGCAAAGCCCTTTGAAGAGATGAGCATCTAGAAAGTCAGGGCGCAAGGGAGTCCACACCTACGAAAATAAATTCTGGTAAGGGGGGTAGGAGAAGAGGAAGCTGTCCTACACTGTTGGTGGGGATGTAAACTGCTAACAGCCACCATAGAGAACAATCTGGAAAATTTTTTAATCTAAAAATAGGGCTACCCTATGATCTTGCAGTCCCACTCCAGGGTCTATATCTGGAGGAAACCCTATTTTGAAAAAATACATGCACCCCAAGATTTCACTGCACCACTATTTAAAATAAATAAATGCATGATAGTAAAGAGATTATGTTTTTAAAAGGAAGGAATTTGTTAGGCAGGACCACCAGAGGTAGAAAAGTAAATGTTTACCAGTTCTAAATGCATGGGATTTCACGAAGAAATGGGGACAGAGCCGCTGATCTGTATCACAAATTTTACACAAGAACCTACCATTTCTTCCTCTTCCATTCCCAGGTTTCTTTCTCAGGTGATATTATGTAGAGGAATCACACCTGTACATCGTTTAACTATTAAAAAAAATTTTTTTAATGTATATGGCTGTGCCTGGTCTTAGGTTCGACAAGGGAGATCTTTTGTTTTTTGTTCTGGCATTCAAACTTTTAGCTGCGGCATGTATGATCTAGTTCTCTGACCAGGGATTGAACCTGTGCCCGCTGCATTGAAAGTGTGGCGTCTTAGCCACTGGACCACCAGGGAAGTCCCACACCTGTACATCTTTGAAGGCATCAGCACAGCACTTTCACCTTATCGACTAAAAAAAGGCAGGCAACCTAAAATTTGAGAGTTATGCTTTATTCAAGATTACTGGGAGAAATAACAACCACCTCAGATATGCAGATGATACCACCCTAATGGCAGGAAGTGAAGAGGAACTTAAGAGCCTCTTGATGAAGGTGAAAGAGGAGAGTGGAAAAGCTGGCTTAAAACTCAACATTCAAAAAACAAAGATCATGACATCTGGTCCCATCACTTCATGGCAAACAGATGGGGAAAAAATGAAAACAGTGACAGACTTTATTTTCTTGGGCTCCAAAATCTGCAGATGGTGACTGTAGCCATGAAATTAAAAAAATGCTTGCTCCTTGGAAGAAAAGCTATGACCAACCTAGACCGTGTATTAAAAACCAGAGACATCACTTTGCCAACAAATGTCTATATAGTCAAAGCTATGGTTTTTCCAGTAGTCATGTACAGATGTCAGAGTTGGACCATAAAGAAAGCTGAGCGCCAAAGAATTGATGCTTTTGAACTGTGGTGTTGGAAGAGACTCTTGAGAGTCCCTTGGACTGCAAGGAGATCAAACCAGTCAATCCTTTAGAAATCAACCCTGAATATTCACAGGAAGGACTGATGCTGAAGTTGAAGCTCTAATACTTTGGCCACCTGATGCAAAGAGCCAACTCACTGGAAAAGACCCTGATGCTGGGTAAGATTGGGGGCAGGAGAAGGGGACGACAGAGAATGAGTTGTTTGGATGGTATCACCGACTCAATGGACGTGAGTTGAGCAGACTCTGGGAGATGGTGAAGGATGGGGAAGCCTGGCCTGCTGCAGTCTGTGGGGTCACAAACAGTCAGACATGACTTAGTACCTGAAAAACAACATTTTTATTCTGCAGAAATTTTTTAGGACTTCAAGCCCCGGAGATAGCATCTCAGGTAACCCTGAGAGAACTGCTCTGAAAAAGCAAGAGGAGAATCCAGGTTATATACAAGTTTTCCAACAAAGGACAGGTGGTCTGAACTTCAAAAGACTATTGTTAATTTAAGAAAACCAGATAACCCAAGTTAGGGAATTTAGTGCTCTTCTATGTACAGGAAGATGCAAGAGTCTGGGCTCACGGAAATCATTCCTTTGATATGCAGGTCAACTATCTGGGGCCAGAATCATTGGTTTTTTTAATATCCTGAGCTTCGTTGGGGCTCACAGTAGAGAGTGGCTGTAGTCTGCTGGCAGCTAGATAGCAGGAATTGTTTTTCTTACTGTGGGCTGCAATCCCTGATGACTGTGACATCCTTGTTTACTGATAGAGCAAGAATTATTCCATTTCTCAACCAGCTACCTGCACATGCAGAGACAGGAGGCCCTGGAGATGCAGAACGGTCACACTTCCCTATCCTTTGTCACATGACAGATGCTTGAAGAAATGAGCTCCTACATGGAGACCAAAGCGTGATATCCTGCTTCCCTGTTTTCATATGCCCTTCCCTCTCACAGTCAGCCACTAAGGCTGCAGCACCGGGCCATGCGCTTTGCACTGAACTGACCCACTCACACAGACTCTGTTACCTTTCCTTGAACCAAAGGCTGGACTCAAGTCTCACACCACAAAAATATCTGAGAGCCCTCTTGAATAACCCTGGTTTCACCCTGGAATTGCCTGGAAAAGGTAATGAAAACAAGTTTATTTTCATTCTCTATAAACTATGTCGCTCACAGGAAATAAGTTATGCATCTCAAATACAACATTGTGTGTGAACTATGGTTTTTTTTTTCAGACTTTAAACTTTTTATTTTGTATTGGGGTATAGCCTATTAACAATGTTGCGATAGTTTTAGGTAAACAGCCCAGGGACCCGGCCATACATATACATGTATCCATTCTCTCCCAAACCTCTCTCCCAAACCTCCCTCCCATCCCGGCTGGCACATAACACTGACTATTAAAGAGTTCCATGTGCTATAAAACAGGTCTTTGTTGGTTATCCATTTTCAACCATATATCCGGACCAATACACGGAATGTGTGGAGGAGGTCACAGGTGATAGTAGTATTTAAAACTCACTGTGTCATCTCTGTGGCAAGCCTATAGTGAAAAGCCTGTCTTTAAATCTTGCCCTCAAACTTTAACAGGCATACAAAGCATTCCAGCACCCAAGGAAGAAACTATGAGTCTCCAGGTTTGGTGCGGGGCTCATGAACTGGCATCTTTAACAAGCTGCTTCTTTGTGCAGACGTTGTTCCCCTAGAACCACTTTTAACAGCACTCGAGAAAGCAGACACGCCACACCTCGGCTCCTTCCACCAAAAACCTAATCACATGACACCTACTGTGCGTTCCATTTAAGACCACCATCCCGTCCTGAAGGATCCCATGTTTGGCTAGCACCCTAAGCTTTACAGAACAAAGACTGTAACATTTGAGTCTCTATTTGGAAAATGATGTATATGGTCATTAATACTACGACTACTGAGCATCTACTGTGCGTTCACAAGTAGTCAAGGCAGGTATGTCTTTTTTAATTATGTTTGGCTGTGCAGGGCCTTGGCTGTTGCATGGGCTTTCCCCAGCTGTGCTGCAGGGGGGCTGCTCACTGAGGTGGCTTCCCTTCTGTGGAGCACAGGCTCTAGGGCCCAGGGGCTTCAGGAGCCTTGGGACACAGGCTCAGTACTCGCCCGCTGCAGGCTCTAGAGCTTGGGCTGTCGTTGTGGCATCTGGGCTTAGTTGCACCGAGGTATGTGGGACCTCCCTGGACCGGGGATGAACCCGCACTGCCTGCACTCACAGGCGGATTTTCATCCACTGTGCCACCAGGGAAGTCCAAGGCAGGTTTGTTCTGCGTCTGGAGAAACAACCCACAGTCTGACCGTGAGGCCAACCCACCAGGCTGGAAGGGCCCCCCGTGCGTGCGGAATGCGCATCCCTGCTCCCTTGTTGAGGGCAGGCACTTTGGGCCAGGGATTTAGAAGTGCGCCCTAAGCAACCTGTCTCCTCGGGGCGCATCCTTGGGTTCCTCCAAGCTCATCACCTAGCCTTGCGGTCGCGCCCTGGACCCGCAGGTTGAGTTCGCCAGTGCTCTGGCGCCCTCTGGTGGACATCCGCTGTAACAACCACCCTCAGCCCTTCGCCTGCCTCCATCCCTTTCCCTTGGCAACTGCACACGTCTATCACAATCTTAACTTTTTTTTAATTCAGAAACACTGGACTAGACTTGAAGTCTAGTCCACTTGACCATTTCAAGGTCACTTGAAATGAACTATTTCTAATTACAGGCAGAAAAGCTAAATGACACGAGAGAAAATGTTCTTTTATGGTGGTTGAAGAGATGTGCTGTGCTGTTAGTCGCTGTGGGTCTGACCCCATGGACTGTAGCCCGCCAGGCTCCTCTGTCCATGGGATTCTCCAGGCAAGAACACTGGAGTGGGTCGCCATGCCCTCCTCGGGGATCTTCCCAAACCAGGGCTTGTTGAAGACATGGGGTAAGCACAGTTACTTCAGTGGTTAGTTCTACTCCCACTTCAGTGGCGGGACACTGACCTGTGTTCACACTTTCTTAATGTTCCTGAGAGAAATATTTATCAGATACATTTACACTGGAATCGCAGCCTTCCCTCTTTAAGACCGAGTGACTTTCCGTGAGTCTGTTCTCCCCTCAAGCACTGTTTCTGCAGAAGCGCCAGTCACTCAGTCATGTCGGGCTCTGCAACAGCTCCTCTGTCCATGGAATTCTCCAAGAAAGAAGCATACTGGAGTGGGTAGCCGATCCCTTTTCCAGGGGATCTTCTCAAACCAAGGCTCAAACCCGGGTCTCCTGCTCTGAGGCAGATTCTTTACCGTCTGAGCCAACAAGGAAGCCATTTTGCAAAATGGAGATAAGAAAATCCACTCGCATAACTTTCAGAGTTAAATGAGATAGAATGTCAAGGATGGTATTGATCAATAGAATTTAATGAAAATCTAAACCCTTTTCCTTTTTCTCCTTGCTCAAAGCAGGTGTTCATTCTTTGTAAACTTCATACTCTCTTTTCTCTCCAGGGACATCACAATTCCTGATACACAAGAAACAAAAAATATTTGTGAACTGATTCTCTCATCCATTATTCCAGCTGGGACATTCATCAATTTCTATCCGTGTCGGTGAAACAGCCTCTATTCTCCTCTGTGGCTGTTCTCTTAACTACAGTGTCCTCTATGAAGATGCTCGCTGCCTGGGTGTGGAGTATTACTAGATTTTGTTTTCTAATATTATCTTGTAGTTATTACTCTCTTGTTGGCTTGTCCTGTTTCTTTGTACCCTCCAATTTCAGTACAATAATTTAACAAATAATTAGATAAATAATCTTTTGATTAACACACTATTTAGTCATAATAGATCTCACAGAAAATGCCAATCTTTAGGTACAGTTGAGCAATGTTTTATCTATGTTCTTTCAAGAGGTAAACATCATAGTTTCTTAAAATGCATATAAAAAAACACAAAATTCACTTTCTTGATTGCTTCAGCAAAGTTTAGAATTTTTTGCTAAAATTTTTTGCTAAAACTACAAGGCCAGGGAGTGGAATGACAAAAAAATATACAATGTCACAGTCGTGTTTTCATCTCTTCTGGATGACACTAAATCAGTTTGGTATTATTATGTATATTGAATTTTATGCAGTTTACAGGCAAAAATTGTGAACATAACTCCTTTTCAATAGACACAAAATCTAATAGTAAACTACCCAAAGGGGTGGAAAATTTATATTGCTTCTTTTAACAGATGTAGTAATAAAACTATGACTTATGAGAACAAGACTACACTGAGAAATTAAAAGAAATAAAACACTGGGAACCTATGAAAACAACATTAAATATAGTCAAAAAATAGAAAACATATCAACTTCATACCTTTGCAATTAAATAAATATTTATATATGTAGGGAATACTTCAGCAGAAAACTCTTAATTAAAAAGAATAATGTTTCATAAAATAAATACATGGCAACAGTGCATCTAAGATACAGAAATAAGCATTTTAAATCAGACTAATAGATCTTGTCCAAACAGAGAGAAATAATTTTGCTGTCTAAAAGCATTAGGGTTGTTGACTAAGATTTGACTCAAATGGGATCTAAAGGAAACTTTCCCCTGGTGTCTAATGTACCAAATTCAAGTCATTAAGGTGTTTATTTCAGAAGTAGATATCATTCTACAAAGAATTATTTAAAGAACTTCATTGTCTCTGCCTTTCTCAGATCTAATCCCTTGAATCTATTTCTCACTTCCACTGTATAATCATAAGGGATTTGATTTAGGTCATACCTGAATGGTCTAGTGATTTTCCCTACTTTCTTCAATATAAGTCTGAATTTTGCAATAAGGAGTTCATGATCTGAGCCACAGTCAGCTCCTGGTCCTGTTTTTTCTGACTGTATAGAGCTTCTCCATCTTTGGCTGTAAAGAACATAATCAGTCTGATTTCGGTGTTGACCATCTGGTGATGTCCATGTGTAGAGTCTTCTCTTGTGTTGTTGGAAGAGGGTGTCTGCTATGACCAGTGCATTCTCTTGGCAAAACTCTGTTAGCCTTTGCCCTGCTTCATTTTGTACTCCAAGGCCAAATTTTCCTGTTACTGCAGGTATCTTGACTTCCTACTTTTGCACTACAAACAAAGCTGGTGGAGGTGACGGAATTCCAGTTGAGCTATTTCAAATCCTAAAAGATGCTGCTATTAAAGTGCTGCACTCAATATGCCAGCAAATTTGGAAAACTCAGCAGTGGCCACAGAAATGGAAAAGGTCAGTTTTCGTTTCAATTACATAGAAAGGCAAAGCCAAAGAATGTTCAAACTACCACACAATTGCACTCATCTCACACGCTAGCAAAGTAATGCTCAAAATTCTCCAAGCCAGACTTCAACAGTACATGAACCGTGAACTTCCAGATGTTCAAGTTGGATTTAGAAAAGGCAGAGGAACCAGAGATCAAATTGCCAACATCTGCTGGATCACCAAAAAAGCAAGAGAGTTCCAGAAAAACATCTACTTCTGCCTTATTGACTATGCCAAAGCCTTTGACTGTGTGGATCACAACTAACTGTGGAAAATTCTTCAAAAGATGGGAATACCAGACCACCTTATCTGCCTCCTGAGAAATCTGAATGCAGGTCAAGAAGCAACAGTTAGAACTGGACATGGAACAAGAGGCTGGTTCCAAATCAGGAAAAAGGAATATCAAGGCTGTATACTGTCACCCTGCTTATTTAACTTATATGCAGAGTACATCATGTGAAATGCCAGGCTGGATGAAACACAAGCTGGAATCAATACTGCCAGGAGAAATGTCAATAACCTCAGATATGCAGATAATACCACCCGTATGGCAGAAAGAGAAGAACTAAAGAGCCTCTTGATGAGAGCAAAAGAGAGTGGAAAAGTTGACTTAAATCTCAACATTCAGAAAACTAAGATCATGGCATTCGATCCTATCACTTCATGGCAAATAGATGGGGAAACAATGAAAACAGTGAGACACTTTATTTTTTGGGACTCCAATATCACTGCAGATGGTGACAGCAGCCATGAAATTAAAGACACTTCCTCCTTGGAAGAAAAGCTTTGACCAACCTAGAGAGCATACTAAAAAGCAGAGACATTACTTTACCGACAAAGGTCCGTCTCGTCAAAGCTATGGTTTTTCCAGTGGTCGTGTATGGATGTGAGAGTTGGACTGTAAAGAAAGCTGAGCGCAGAAGAATTGATGCTTTTGAACTGTGGTGTTGGAGAAGACTCTTGAGAGTCCCTTGGACTGCAAGGAGATCCAACCAGTCCATCCTAAAGGAGATCAGTCCTGAATATTCATTGGAAGGACTGATGCTGAAGCTGGAACTCCAATACTTTGGCCACCAGATGCGAAGAACTGACTCATTGGAAAAGACCCTGATGCTGGGAAAGATTGAAGGTGGGAGGAAAAGAGGACAACAAAGGATGAAGATGGTTGGATGGCATCACCAACTCGATGGACATGAGTTTGAGTAAGCTCCGGGAGTTGGTGATGGACAGGGAGGCCTGGCATGCTGCAGTCCATAGGGTCACAAAGAGTCGGACATGACTGAGCAACTGGACTGGGCTGTTTGGCTCATTCCAACCACCAACTGACACAATAAAGGTAACACTTGGTTCTCATCCTACCTGGGATGCTCAGCAGCCTGGACATCTTGCAAATGGGGGCATACTGCTCACTTGGAGGTGCTGGAAACGAGCTGAGTATTTTCTTGGGTTGCAGCCCACCACTGTTATCTTAACCTGGAAATCGTGAGACACTATGGTCCATGCTTTGTCCTCTGTGGGAAGAGAAAAAGGCCACAAGGATGGGTGGTTAGTATGCAAATGCATCTTCAAATGTCAGAAAATAAGAGAGCCACACTGTCACTGGTGTTTCCCCTGAACTGATATAGAACAGAGCTAAGGACAGTACTCCTTAGAGTAACCCCTACCTTTTTCTCACACCGAAGTTCTCCTTAAATAGACAAAGTACAAAAGCCATATCTTTTATTAAAAAACAAACTCAAGATCTGGTTGATGTTCTAATGTCCACAGCACTGAGGCCCACTGTGTTCAATTGCCTTCCTGTCACCAGACCCCTTCACGCCTTCCTCAGTGAACTAAGTGTTCTCAAGCCTTTGCATCTTTGTGCACGCTGTTTGCTGGGATAAAAAATATGCAACCTCTCCTTGTCAACAACTGCTCTCCTCACCTAGACCTTTCAGGTAACATCAGACTCTGCATTCTGTTACTGAAATGCCCTCCACACGTGGGATGACGCAAACAGGTAATTATCTTGGTGTTGTGGACCCTGAAAATTTCAATGTGTGAAAAGGACAAGCAGATATTAGATGATGAGGTCAAAGTAAAATCCTCCAGGGACTTCCCTGGCAGTCCAGTGGTTAAGACTCTTCTCTTCTGAGGCAGGAGGCAGGTGGACCGCCCCAGGGTAAAGCAATTGGAGGTTTATTCTCTATTGACCAAAACTCCAAGATAAGAATAGCAGGCCAGTTAAGGGAGAAGGCTGGGCCCTGCCCAGACCACATATTTCTCTTTCCCAAAGTCAGGAGACCTCCCTGACCACACATGCACAGAAAAGGCTCCTTGGAAGCCAAAAGGGGAGTCATGTCAAGGAATGTTCTACCCATAGGCCTTTGTGGTAGGATCCATCTTAGCTAAGAGATGCATGCACACACCTGGGAGGATCCTGAGATGCACCAAATATGGACAGTGAACCAGGCAAATCAAATGACTGACCAAAGGAAACCCAGAAGAAACACCACATAAAAGTAATTCAAAGTGCCACCAGGGTGCGACCCAGGGACCCCCCGAGTCAGCTCGTGTGCCTATCCACACGAATTGCACTTTTCTCCTCTTAAAACGTTACTCGCATCACTACTTTCTGTCTTTGTAGGAATCCTTTGCTGCAAAGCTGAAGGGCCAGGTCCTTTGTCACTGACCGCTGGCCTAGTGGCTAGGATCTGGCGCTTTCAATCTCTGGCTAGGAACCCAAGCCCCGCTCCAAGCTGTTGCAGGCCGAGGCCACTCGAGATCACTTCCACTGTGAGGGGCACAGGTTTGATCCCTGGTCAGGGAACAAACAAGCCACGACCCAGCCCAAAAAAAATCCTATATAGTTCTGCATTTGAATTAAAAGTGTCACCATGTCACTAAGATAACTTAATGAGGTTATCTTTTTAAAAATGCAGTTATATGTCCTAGCTCTGTCCGCTGAAAAAGTCCCCAAACAAGGATCAAACTCTGGCACCAGACTGTCATCACTCAATATCATTTTCCATTAAGAGAAAACTAGGCTCCTGGAGAAATACCTGATTCCACGATTGCAACTGGGTAAGAGGAGTCTGGAACATATTGTCACAACAGAAACAAAAAAACTACTGGAGACGGAGGGTCATTCAATACCCCAGAGCCTAAGAAGGATGATTTTCATTAACATCAATCAGAATTTCCTGCAATGGATTAAAATACATCAAGGATATTTAATTATATAAGTTCACTGGAAGAAAAAAAAAAGAAATGTTTAATTTTGGAAGATGCTAAGTAACTAACACATTATTCTGACTATCAGAAAAAGAGGGTTAAAAAAATCCAGCATTTAGTCCATATTACCTAGATGAACTATAATATAGCTAACTACTCCCTTTATGGAAATATTGCAGCTCATCAGTGAAGGCTAAATGATAAATTAGAGTGTCATCATTTCATAACTTGTAGCATGTTAGTAGGATATAAGGAGGATTATCCTGGAGAAGGAAATGGCAACTCACTCCAGCATCCTTGCCTGGAGAATGCCACAGACAGAGGGCTACAGTCCATGGTGTCGCGAAGAGTCGGACACGAATAAGCGACTGAAGACAGCAAGGAGGACATCATGGCTGCTAACACAGCCACACGTGAAATGAGAGAAGGCTGAGAAGGGAGGGCCTGCACACAGCACTACGATGAAACAGATCAGGTGTGAACTTCATCAAGCTTATAGTCTCCACCTGGCAATTTCTAGAAAACATAGAGGAAAAGGGAACATGTTGAATGGCACCAAAGGGAAATAACCAGCAAAATCCACATTGTGGAAAACCATATACATCATACAATCTAGTTTTTCAACAGGTAAGCAATAAACTACAAAGGGAAGACACGAAAACACACACACCCATACACACACAGCTCTATATTAAAAGAGATGGCTTGAACTTGCCTTTCATGGGGTCTTCCTATTTCAGGAAGGCTTCCCAGGTGGTACAGCGATAAAGAACCTGCCTGCCAAAGCAGGAGACGCAGGGTCGATCCCTGGGTCGGGACGATCCCCTGGAGAAGAAGATGGCAACCCACTCCAGTACTCTTGCCTGGAAAACCCAATGGGCAGAGGAGCCTGGAGGGCTACAGGCCAAGAGGTCGAAAGAGTCAGGCATGACTGACGGACGGAGCACAGACATCATTTCAGGAAACGCCAGCTTCATTCCTCTAGTTCTCAAGACAAAAGCGATGGGAACGCCTTTAACTCTTCCCTCTTCCTCCACTCAGCAAGCCTCCTGTCAGTACCCCTGAGTACCCCTCATGTGTCCCTTCACTGGCGCTCTGGTCAAATCCCCCGGCCTCCCTTGCCTGCGTCCCACAGGAACCTCGAAAAAGCCCCCTCTTTCCACCCTCATACCCTGAGGCCTCCTATGAACACAGGAGCCGAGCTGGGCCTTCTCAAATACACCGCTCAAGGTCTTCACGGGGCGCCAGGTCTTGTCCACAATTCAAGTAGCCGAAGGCCCTTTAAGTCTGGCTCCCCCTTGCTTCTTGGGCTCTGACTACACTGGCCTCCCAGCATTCCTCAAGCAGATCAGGTGGCCCCTCCTTGGAGACTCACACTCGCTCTTTCTTGCGTCTAGAGCCTTCTTTCCTCAGGTCTCCTCGCCCCTCCTTCCCCTGCAGATCTGAGCTCCGGAGCCAATCCTGCCTTCGCCGAGTCCCACATCCACCGCAGCTGCTCCTAATCTACCGGCCCCGCTCTGCACATGTAAATTATTTCTTAATACCACTCTCCCTTCCTTAGAAGGAAAGAAAGCAGGGATTGTTTTCAATGCGATATATGCACAGCGCTTCGAACGGTAACTGGCTCATAGTAGGGCTTCAAAAACAGTAGCTGAATAGAAGCATGAATCAACAAAAATAAATAGCATACAAACACCTGATCTAGGACCCTCTTACAATTACTTTGGTTCAAGCTCTGCTGAGTCTATCCTGACAGACTCTGGACACGGCCCTTCCTTCCTCAGAGCCAGAATTCCCCTTCATCTCTTAAAACACGCCTCTCTATCAGAACACTTTGCAGCTCGCTGTTCTTAAATCTATGAAACCAAGTTCAGTTATGGTACCCCGCAGTCATTTTCTATATGATAGTGATTTTCCCGGTTTTACCTTTGGCCTAAACAAAACTGCCTTTTGTTAGCTCCTCTGATACAGCAAGAAAAGCCTCGATATATTGTGGTAATTCAGACATGATTCTGAAGACAAACTGATGGTTATTTACATTCAGGCCAGCAGAATAACCTTTACCTAAGGAAAAATTCATGAACTGAATTAGGCTGGAATAGGTGATCAACAAACCTGCCTCCGCAACAGGTCTGTTTCTTTTACTTTAGCCTTTGTTCTCTTTTGCTTCTGCAACAAGTTAATCATTACAGGGATGTTACCCATAGCTTAAAATATACGCAGGCTCCTCTCTGTATTCAGTTCACCTGGGAATGGCTGACAGCAGGAAGAAATTAACACACTCCTGGTGTCAGGCCTAAACCGGGCCATCTTTGCAATCACTTTCACCGGTCTTCTTACTTCAGCTCCTCAGCCCGCTTTTTCTTTGTTCGATAACAAATAAAGAAATAAATGGAGACCCCAGTAAGATGCTTCTCTACGACCCTTGTCTGCCATCTGCTCGGACTCCTGGCTTTCTGTTTGTTTGTTAAACACTGTTATTTGTTTTCGGCTGTGCTGGGTCTCCGCTGCTGCTCGGCCTTTTCCCTAACTGCGGCAGGCAGGGGCTACTGCTCTCTAGGCGGTGCTCGGGCTTCTCATCGCAGTGGCTTCTCTTGTGGAGCACGGGCTCTGGGGCTCTGTGAGCTTCAGTAGCTGCGGCTCCCAGGCTCCAGGGCTCAGGCTCAATAACTACATCACCCAGGCTTAGCTGCTCCGCGGCCTGTGGGATCTTCCCGGACCAGGAATCAGATCCATGTCTGCAAGAGGCAAAGCGATAGATAAGAGGTGATTTACTACAGTAGGATGCTTGTGAGGCTTACAGACAGGCGGGTGAGAGGGGGTCACATCCCGAAAACTTAATGGGCTAGGTTTATCATCAAAAGAAAAGTGGGGAGGGGGAAAGACTGCCTCCTTCCTCATTCTTGAGTAGACATCATGCCTCCATCATCAGCCTCCTCCTCCACGTCAGGCAAGGGAGCTTCCTCCTCCCTACATGTCAAGCTAGAACTGTCACTGCGCAATGGAAATGAGCGAAAAGGCAGTAGAACATGATCGAAATGGTAAATCATCTCAGGTTTTAGTATATCACCTTTCCTTTATATTTGTTTTTAGTGTGTGCAGAAGAATCATTAATTTACTGAGCTCACGGGGCAGGGTGTGGGTCTCATGCCACAATTGCTTGATTGTTTTCGGGCATGTCTCAAGCTGATGTTGCAGTTTTGATGCTAAACAAGCCTGCCTTCTTCAGTGATCAATAACTTACAGGGGTCTCCCATACCTTTTTCTTTACTAGCGTCCCCTAGTGGAATCAACTACTTATTAATAATTACCTGGACTTCCCAAGTGGCACTAAGGGTAAAGAACTCGCCTGCCAATGCAGGAGATGTGAGCTACATGTGTTTGATCCCTGGGTCGGGAACATCTCCTGAAGGAAAAGGCAACCCACTCCGGTGTTCCTGCCTGGGAAACTCCACGGACAGAGAAGCCTGGCGTGTTACAGTCCATGGGGTCGCACAGTGTCAGACAGAACTGAGAACAGACACAGACAACGACAAAACAACTACCTCATCCCTTACTCTGTCCCTGTCACTTCCTGCCTGCCTGCCTTCCTCCTTCCTTTCTCTCTTGCTAAAAACAAATCCTTGAGTCTTTTCCTATAGCAGTGTTCCAGACCTTTCTTTCTTTAACTCCTGATGGAAGAGCATTCTAACCTGACCCTCCTTTAAAGTATCATAACCCCCTTTTGAAGATACACAAAATAATGTTCAGAAAGGCAAACATTAAGCAAGAGGAAAAAATGGTTACTATTATTGTCTCTGTCAATAACTTTAAAAACACTAACCAATTTTTGACTATTGATGAATATTTAGGTCCTGGTTTATTCTTGGCCCTAAACTCTCGTTCCAACAATCTCACCACACACAGTATAGCATTAAAACCCTGTGCATTGTCTCTTTATGTCTGTTTTATAGCTGTTCATTCATTCATTCAGCAAATATTACTGGATGCCTACTATATGACTGATACAGATCTAGGCTCCAGGGAAATCACAGCAAAAAAAAAAAATCATAAATTTTTGCAGCGTATATTCTTATATTCTAGTGGGGAGAAGAAAACAAGAGAACAGATAACAAGCAAAATTAAAATAAAATGTGTATTTAGCAAGTGATGATGGCGAGAAGAAAAACTAAACGAGGGAAGGGAAGACCTAATTTCCTGACCAGGTATCAAGGCTGGGTCCCAACAGTGACAGCCACCAAGTCCTAACCACTGGACCAGTAGGGAATTCCCTGTATTTTTAAACATAGAGGAAACCATAAAGGCCCTGAGCAAGTGACATCTGAAGAAATAAGATGGTTATCCAGCAAGCCATGTGGATGTCAGGGGAAAGTAACCCAGACAGAAGAAATGCAAATATTCTAAATCTGGAATACTCCAGTTATCACTTGGGTACATAAGGAGGCCAGTGAGTGAGGAAGGAGAGAGGAGCAGAAGCTGAAGGCAGAGATATGATGGAAATTAATGGGACATGACCTCACAGTGAGCTGGAAAGCCACTGGCATCAGAAGGTTTGGAGTAAGTTAGTTTGCTTTTACTTATTCTTTAACATACTATTTTTTGCTTCAATCAAATTATACTTCAGATGGGTTTGAAAAATAACGTGTGTGTATATATATATATACACACATATATTTTATATATATCTTTATAAAGATCTAAAACTTTTTAAAGTGTCATGGCATTCTAAAAGGTAATATATAAGCTTTATGTTGATAACATAAAACAACTACTATTGATGCATCTTGAAAATGATTGTGTGTGTGTGTGATACTGTTTCCCAAGAAAGAAAGAAGAAAGTGAAGTCGCTCAGTCGTGTCCGACTCTTTGCGACCCCATGGACTATAGCCTACCAGGCTCCTCCATCCATGGGATTTTTCCAGGCAAGAATACTGGAGTAGGTTGCC